CTCTCTCTCTCTCTCTCTCTCTCTCTCTCTCTCTCTCTCTCTCTCATGTGTGTGTGTGTGTGTGTGTGTGTGTGTGTGTGTGTGAGAGAGAGAGAGAGAGAGAGAGAGAGAGAGAGAGGACACAACTTTCAGGAATCAATTTTTTTCTTTCTACTGTTGGGTTCTGGGGTTGTCAGTCATGGTAGGAAGAGCCTTTATCCTCTGAGTCATCTCACCGGCCTCCTTCCTGTTATACTACTTTCCTGCCCTGGAGAAGATGAGGTAGGAAATGTGTACTTGTATACAGGTGGTTAAAAGCTATTAAAGGTCACCCTCAACTCCACAACACGCTTGAGGCCATCCTGGGTTACATGAGACCCTGTTTCAAATAACAAGCAAAAATAGCAACAAGATGCTGGGTCTAGCAGTGCACACCTTTAAGCCCAGCACTTGGAAAGCACGGCAGGCAGATCTCTGCATTCAAGGCCATCCTGGTCTGTGCAGTGAATAGTAGTACATTCAGGGCTACAGAACCTCTGTCTCAAAAACCTCCAAAAGAAAAACCAACAAGAAAACAAGACCGGAGGGCAGACATGGAGCCTGATTCCAGCTGAGCAGTGACTCCCTAACACCACGCTTCCTTTCATTCGCCAGCCGCCAGCTAAACCCAGCCCCTCTGACATTCAGGAACCCCTTCTCCCAGACCCAGTCTGTTTACAGACCAGCACACCTGACAGGTCCACAACTATACACAAGCCTTTTCCTAAAGTCACTAAGAAAGCTAGACCAGAAGCTCGGCTGCCCATGTAGCCGGGAGAGCCTTGGTCACAAGTAAGCTCATGGTCTACCCTGGGCAAGTCCATGAGACATCGTTTTTGAAGTAAACAGTAAAAAGAGGGGTACGGCTCAGTGGTGGAGCGCTTGCTTAACGTGAGCAAAACCCTAGGTTCAGTCTCCAATATCCTATCAAAAAATCAAACAAAAAGCCTCAGCCACTACAGGGTTTCCGAATTTGAGTTTTATAGCTTGCACACATAAGCAAATAACTTCATTCTTGATTAAATATGGGACACTTAGGTGACCAGTTTCAATTTCATTCCACCCTGCCAATCACACCAAGGCCTCCTTCCAAGCCTCAGCGCCCTGGGCCAATTCTAGCTTCTTATAGCAGTTGAGCTTTGGCCTTTAGGCACTGCCTTGGAAAGAGATCTAGAACCTTTACTGGCAAATCCATGAAAGATAAACACGTTTGTGGAGGAGGGAAGCAATCTGTGCATGACAAAGTTAGTAAGAACGTTTTATAACAATTATCTGTGCTCTGCAGACAATACTTGGCCTTCTCAAAGACTGGTAGGTCATCTGAGAAGGGCGCGCTTTCCTGTCTTTCCCTTCTGATTTCACACCAGTTTCTCAAACAGTTGAGAGTTAGCAATAGGGCACATCACAGGTTCTTTTAGGATAAATCCTAGCTAGCTAGGTACACTCTCTAAACTGTCTCCTCACGATAGCAATTTTCCTGAGAAAGGAGCAGTCGGTGGAGAGTTGGGGAAGTATTCCAGTTCTACCAGGACCCCTAGGGGCCAGAGCAAAACCCCTTTGTTTCCTAGGTAAGCCAATCAGCTTCATGCTCCACCCTCAAGACCTATCAATCAAAGGGAAGCCACGCCTCATCTACGTAGCCTGTCCAGAAATACTACCGCCCCTAGTGTCGTTCCTGTCACTCAAAAGTTAGGCTCGACTCCACCCACTTCCGTTTTCCTTGGCAACGGCTGGCTTTAGCACTCCAGGCCCCTTTCCGGCCAGAACCCTGAGCCCGCTTCCTCCCTCGCTCTTGATCCTGGAACGCTCAATCCGCCAAATCTCCTTCCTCTCCAGTTTCTAAACCCTAGAGCCGCAGTGAGCCCGCCCCCTGACTTCCTGCCCGGAAATCCCGAGGTTTTCGAGGAATCACGCGAGGTCTCTTATCTTCCGCTGCCCAGGATGCTGTAGGCTCTTGATCTCCGGGGCCGCTCTCCATCCTCCCCACCCACCCACCCTCGTCCTCGAAGCCGACTGTACCGGGACTGTTTCCTGATCTTCATGGTTCTGTGCCCCACGAGAAGTAGGAAGTGATCTCACAGAGGACAGAATAGCTGCCTTCCCACCTACAAGGATAGTTCCCGTACCAGTCAGGGATCCAGGCACCTAACTGCATCTCCTCTTTGTTAACCTTGTAACAACATGTAGCGACCTTCAGGCCCAGGGTTCGAGATGGAAGCCGAGAAAACTCACTTTAGAGACAGAAACTTCAAAAACAAACGCTTAAATAAACCAAACCAAACAAAAAAAGCTTTGTTTTCTGAGTTCTCAGGGAGGCGGCCAGTTCTGAATCGGAACCTCCTCCAGAGAGGAGGCTGTATTGCATTTTGAAAGGCAGAAACTGCAAGAGTGACGGGGTTATCTAATATTCTGACTTTATGGGGTAAGCAAGGGAGTACGCGTTGGAGACTGGGCCTTATCCAGGGCACTTGGCTTCAAGGTCCTTAATTCATTCTCCTAGACATTAGTTCTGGAGCTCAGAGTGAAACGGAGACAAAAGAGGTGGGCAGGTGCATGTAGTTTATTAGGGCATAACAGGCAATTTGTTATATATATTTTTTTACAACTTACGCACCTTGGTTTAGACAACAGCAATTTCTATATTCTCTCCTGGTTAACAGACAATTAAGAAAACATTTGGAAAAGTAAGATAGGAGTTTGTTCCTAGGCCTGAGAACATGAATTTGACCCTGTTAGCAAGGTGTCCCTGAGATGTCTGGATTCAGACAACTGTTTACAGTAGAAGCTGTTCAGCTATTGGGAAGTCCCCAGCTCTCCCAGGGACTGGGACCTTGAGTTTAGTTTCTCCCTATGATTAAAAGGTGTCAAGGACTAGCCTCTGCATAGAGAGGGATTCCTGAGAGAAGGGGTGTTTGGGAGCCCGGCAAAACAAACGACTGAAAGTCAAATCATGGCTCCGTGTGTGTTTTATTTGAGGCTGGACCTAAACTCCCTCTGTCCCAGGCTGACCTTGATCTCAGGATCTGCCTGCCTTTATAAGCATAGACAAAAAACTTAGCTGGATGAGATCTGGCCCTGTGATCCTCACTCCCTGAACCTCTTTATCTCCTTCCTGATATCTTCTGACAAGCTGGCTCACAGTGCAGCTGCCTCTGTTCCTTTAGCCCCATGAAATTCCTTATACTGTTCATATTGCTTCCTTACATTTTGCAAAGTTGAGAAATGATATATTTTTGAACTCATGCTTTCAGCATTTTTTTCCCACAGCCTTAAGGACTGTCCTGAAGGTCACAGTGTTCTACCTTTTAGCTGGGACATTAGCCACACCCTTGCTACCTGGACTTGTGCTATCTCTGATTCTCATGGAATCATTAACCTTGGCAGAAAGGAATGAACATAAAGTACGGGAAGGAAGAACTCGAAGTAAAAAAAAATATATTTTTTTTATATAAACAAGCCTTGTGCCCACAGCCACCATCAACACTTCCGGAGGCCCACACCCTATGGGCTCTGTACTAGGGGTGAGAGCCATGTCATGCTGTCACTGCCATGGCCAAGCAGGAGTTGGCCAAAAGGAGTCTGAACACAAATGGCAGTAATTGGATTAAGTTTCTTTTGCTTGTTCCCAACAAACTATGTAGCTAAGGATGACTTTGAATTCCTGATCTTCCCGCCTCTCCCTCCCAAGTGCTGGGATTATAGGCATGAGCTACTGCGAAAGCAAAATCCAGTGCTCTTTAGGGATAGGTGAATGTGGAATCCCAAAGTGCTCTCAATCCTGACCTACATGTTGACTCTAGGTGTGGTCGTGAACACTGTTCTCAGTCTAGTTCACATCTCAGCAAACCTAAAAGATTGATACACTCACAAGAGACAACACGGTTCACAGCCCTGGTGTTTTCAGGATGGGACAGTGTCTCCCTTCAGCAAGCTTGTCAGAACCTCGGAGGACAGTGTTATTTGAAAAGTCC